TTTATCACAATCCCTACCCGAGCACTGTGTGTGGTTTGGGCCTCCCCATACCTCAGCTTCCCCAGAGCCGAGCTCTGCACCAACCCACAACTAAGTCAGCAAATACAAAGATTACCCAGAGCCTGTGGCACTGGCAGCAACCTGGCACGTGGGGCCCAAAAGCAGTTCCAGGTCCAGGGGCATCCAGAGGGGTGAGATGGCACAAGAATCATGCCCTCGGCTCCAGGCACATCTCCTGGCAATGATGCCTGGGCTCTGGCCAGGCTGCCTGCCATGAGCCAAACTCCTCCAAGCCTCAGTTTACTCAGCACCAACTCAGCTCCTAAATACACAGATGACAGATTGGTCTGAAATACCTTGAGAACGGGCACTGCCCACAGGTGACTGGACAGGATGGGTAATGGTTTGCTTCAAGTACTTGTCCCCCAGCTCAGACACATGCACTGGGACTGAGGTGGCAACAGCCAGGTCACGCATATGGGATGTCTCAGAAAAGGCCACATACCAGTTCAGGAGGAGGGAATTATCAGATACCATAGTAATTGGTGAAGCATGTGGCACATACACATCTTGACACCCACGCCAGAGCCATCACGGCAGCAGACACTTGTTTTTCCAAAGGACTCCCAACCAAAATCAGACCCAATACCAAGACATCCTCTCACCCGGACAAGGTGGACAACACCCTTTCACATGCCTGCCAGGAGCTCCTCAGGATCCAGCTGTCTGCACAGCACATACTCCCACCACCATCCAGCACAGAAACAATCCAAACCTTGTCTGGTGCCCCAGGAGCTCCTGAAAAAATAGCTTTCCTGGCTGATGGGGCAGAGGAAAACTCATGGCTCTCCCCTCCACACCCTCCCAAAACACCTGCTAACACTTTCTGCCTTCTGTCCCCATTGCCTTCCTCCTTGAAGGCCGATTTCCAACAGCCACAGCTTTAGCTTGTATGCTCCAAATTCCCTCCCTTTTTGGAAGCAGGGGCTGTGACACCACCTTGGCTCTGCCTCTCCTCTTTGGCCTGGGTTTGCTATTTTGCAGAAAACCCTCTGTGGCTGCTCAGCAGGGTGGCTCACAGCTTGGGGCACTGTGCTTCACTCCCAGGCGATTTGGATTGGGGTACACCAGGAAGTTTGCTTTCGGCTGCCTCTGGCAGTGTGTGGGTGTGCAAACAGTGACCAATTTCACTGCTGGTTCAACTCCTTTAAATGGGGACTTTCATATTTGTCAGGCTTGGAAAAACATCACCATCTTTTAAACAAAAAATCCATTTCCCCTTCCATGGGGAAGGTGTTTCTGTTTGCACTGGCAGGCCCTTCCCTGCTGCTGCGCCCAGCACAGTCGTGCTGGTGGGGCTGCAAAAATGTGGCTGTTCCACTGTGGTGGAACTACGGTGAGTTCCTCCTGTGGTGAGGATGCCCCTGCCGTGGAGCTCTCTCTGCTTCTGCTGGGAAAATGGGAGCCTTCTAAGAAAACTGAGCCCTCTGCACCAGGCTGGGTTTGATTTCTTAGGGAAATTGCTTCAAAAGAGCAGATGATCTGCATGGGGTCTCCACAGCCCCCTCATCAATACTATTTTTGGTACAGATTTACAGCTCAAATGGTCCTTTTCCAATGTGATCATCAGGTTACAAATATCTGAGATGATAAAAGGGCAAATTGGAAATCTCCCTATGGAGTTTGCTGCCTGACACTCAAGTGCTCACCCTGAAAGACTCAAAATCCCAATTTCCTCTGTTGGGATTTCAGCTAGATGGTTTGGTTAAAATAAAGGAGATTAGAATAATCAGAGAAATGGATGGAGCTCATTAAAACACTAGATTAGAAGAACCCATCCTGCCTATTACCAGTGCTCCTGAGGTCTTCTGCCTTTCTGGCAAGTTGAAGCCACTCAGTAATTAAGATTGCTTTGCAGAAATCTGCAGGAAATGCATTAAAAATACATACTGCTATTACAATTCTTCATGTCACCAGTCACTTGGGAGAGGAAACTAATGAAGGGAAAATGCATATATATTTAAATATTTACAATTGCCTCCCTTGGGATCAGTATTTACGGGCTGGGAGCAGTGGGTCCTGCCCTGAAACACAGACGAGAACAAACTGAAGTCCCCTCAAGAGCTGTGCTGTTTTATTCTCTGTAAATGCTTTTCCCCATCCCCACCTCCCTCACGTGAAGCTAAGGATCAGAAAAGGGCAGAAGATGGGTCTGGCACTGCACAAAGCTGAACAGGGAGCAGCGGGGGAAATTCCTGGGCAGGATTTGGGCCAAGCGGGTCCCATGATGAGCGTTACTGGTTTGGTTTCTCATGACCAGTTGCTTTCCTGCTCACAAGCCATTCCTGTGGCCTGCCTGGAGACTCCGTAACCGCCCAGCACCAGCCCCAGCTGCACAGGTCCTGAGGAAATAAATAAAAACGGAAGTTCTGGGAGGGAGAAGAAAGGCAATTTGTTTACTGGCACACAAGGAGCCTCTTCCCAGATTTTGTGGTTTTGCCCCTCGGAAGATTTAATCCCGGTGAAGTACAGGGGAGGTGACAGCAGGTGGCCGGAGCCGGGCCTTCCCCCTGGGCCCGCTGGAAAGGAAAATGGACAAGCCCAGATGGATTTGGGGGAGGGAGGGAGGATGCTGCGGCGGCTGCACGGCCGGCAGCGCTCCCTGCAGCCTCCCGGCTGCTCCCGCCGCAGTTCCGGGATGAAGATCCTGCGGCGGCACGGCCGGGATGGCGAGGAAGGGGCGGCTGGGATGGGATGGGATGGGATGGGATGGGATGGGATGGGATGGGATGGGATGGCAGGGACGGGAACCTGCGCTGCCCGCGGGTCGCGGCGCCTGGACACGCCTCGCACGGGGGACACCGCCCCCTCGCTCCCCCCCCCGCCTGCAATGGGAGCGTCCCGCCGCGCCGCCTCTGGACAGCGCCCGGCGCGGCCCATTCGCGGGGCAGGGGGGCGCGCGCGAATGCGGAGTCCGGGGATGGCGGGTTCGCGGCCTGGCGGGGGCGGGCGCGGGGCCCGGGGCGGTGAGAGTCGGTGGGACTCGGTGTGACTGACTCGGTGTGACTGACTCGGTGTGACTCGGTGTCCCTCGGTGTCCCCGGGGCGGGGCCCGGTGTTACCCGGTGAGGCGGCGCGGTCGCCGCTCCCGGCCGGCACTAGGGGTCAGCCCCGCGCCGGGGATCGCGGGACGAGGCGGGGGCGGCGGAGGAGTGTCCCCTCACACCCACAGCAGGTCCCCTCACACCCAGAGCAGGTCCCCTCACACCCAGAGCAGGTCCCCTCACACCCACAGCAATTCCCCTCACACCCACAGCAGGTCCCCTCAC